GATGCGTATATCACACAATAATTTACATTCTCGACAATCATTGCAGTTTATCATTCTCGACAGTATCGAAACGAATTATGGTCATACCACTTTCCAAATCTTTTCAGATTTGTACTTTCCACATAAGTATTTACACCTGGCCATTTTTTCTTGTAATCAACACTACTACCTGTATCTCTCTCTCTCTCTCTCTCTCTCTCTCTCTCTCTCTCTCTTCTCTCTCTTCTCTCTCTCTCTCTCTCTCTCTCTCTCCTCTCTCTTTTCTCTCTCTCTCTCTCCCTCTCTCTCTCCTCTCTCTCTCTCTCTCTCTCTCTCTCTCTCTCTCCCCCTCTCTCTCTCTGCGCTCTCTGAGTATTTTTAATTACTATTATTATCATTATCATCAACATTATCATTTTTGTTATCATCATTTTCCTTTATCATTATCATTATTGTTATGATCATTATTATTACCTTTATCACTATTATATTATCCTTATCATGATATTCACAATTACTATTATCATCACTATCATCACAATCGATTTTGATACCAATTGTTGACACCAATTTCATTCTTCTTATCATCTTTATTATTTCTTTTCTCTTCTTCTTCCCCCTTCGCCAATCTGCTTACGAGTCTAAAATCACACAGATTAAGTTTGACAATTAGATTTTTCTTCTCTTCTCTTACAGCTATATTTATCACTGTCCACCTTATCGGGTTCCTTCCCTGCCCCTCTTCTTCTTTTTCTTCCCACTTCTTCCTTAGCTCTTTCTCTTTCCCTTCCCTTCCTTTTTTTAACTTTCCTCTCCTTCCACCTCCTCTCTCCCTATCCTCCCTTCCCCTCCCCCTCTCTCCCTCTCCTTCTTCTCCTTCCACCAATTCCCTTCCCCCATCTCCCTCTCTTTCTTCCCTCCCACTCCCTCCCTCCCTCTCCCACTCCTCCAACCCCTTCCTTCCCTCCATCCCTCTCCCACTCCCTCCAACCCCCCTCCTTCCCTCCCTCTCTTCCCTCCATCCCTCTCCCACTCCCTCCTATCTCACTCCCTCCAACCCCCTCCTTCTCTCCCTCCCTCTCCCACTCCCTCCCCTCCTTCCCTCCCTCCCAACTACCTCCTCCCCTCCTTCCCTCCCTCCCTCCCTCTCCTTCCCTCCCTCCCCTCCTTCCCTCCCTCCCTCTCCCACTCCCTCCACTCATCCCCTCCTCCCTCTCCCTCCCCCTCCTCCCTTCCCTCCCTCCTCCCCCCTCCCCTCCTTCCCTCCCTCCCCCCTCCCTCAACCCCTCCTCCCCTCCCTTCCCTCCCTCCCTCCTTCCTCCCTCCTCCCCCTCCCTCCCTCTCTCTCCCTCCCTCCTCCTCCCCTCCTTCCCTCCTCCCCTCCTTCCCTCCCTCCCCTCCTTCCCTCCCCCTCCCCTCCTTCGATCCCTCCTTCCCGCGCGACCTGCTCCTTAAAAGACTCGTTTGAATGTCTCCACGTGATACTAACACCGTTAAAGGAGCTCTAGATAAAAGCCTTGAAGCAAATCCAAGATATTCTCAAAATATTATCGCTCCTTAAATTTTCGGCCATCCTGGAGTGTCTGTTTCTTCGAGTTAAAAGATAAGATACTGTTAAAGGAAAGGAGAGAGATAAATTGTATGGTTCTTATTCTATGTCGGATAGGTTTTTGTTTTTTATCTTTTTTTTATCAGTTTATATGTATATGTTGTTACATCTTAACTGTCTATTTTTAGATATAATTTGTGACACGAGTGCGTAAAAATGGCTTGGTTCTGGCAGTTTCCAATATTTATAATTTCGAGCAGAGGAGATGGGTGAAAAAATAACGATAATTGATGGTTAAAAACAGAGCTCAATAACGAATTCCAACAGAATATTCTAAATCCATTTTGTGCCTAATATATTTTGATCCCATTTTGCACTTACACATAATCATCAGATAAAGTAAAAAGTTTTTTTTTTTCTTTTTTTTCTTCCATGCCACGCATTCTTCCTACACGTGAATCCGAACGCCATCTTTACCTCATCACAACCCGCAATTTTATCCATCAATATCCAACTCATCACGATCTCCGAATGGATATTGACTCCATCGATCCACGTGTCTGACCTCCATAATCATCCGCTGTATCAAGTCGGGTCAAAAATCGGGCCGAGTCGGGTCAAGCGAGTCGGCTGGGTCATCATCCCGGGGAAGTTACGAGACGCTCCTTGCGAGTCATAAAGGGACCTTCAGCGTCGCCGATCGCTGGAGGGTGAAAGTGTTGGCCTATTTAAAAGGGGGAGAAGAGGAGGAGAGAGAGAGAGGGTGAAATGTGAGAGCGGGGGAGGGAGGGAGGGAGGGAGAGGAGGGAGAGAGAGAGGGAAGGAGGGAGAGGAGGAGAGAGAGGAGGGAAGGGAGGGAGATGAGGGGAGGAAGGGAGAGAGAAGAGGGAAGGGAGAAGAGGAGGTGAAGGGGGGGGGAGAAACAAAGAGGTAAGAAAGGATGGAGGGAGAGAGGACGAAAAGAGAAAGTGAGTGAAAAAGAGAGAAAGAGATAAGGTAAAGGGAAAAAAGACAAACTAGTAAGATTACGAACGAACTTTTCGCTGCTAGGCGATCAGGTAACGTGATCGATCCCACGAAAACTTCACCCGCGAAAACTTCAACTTCAAAACTTCACCCGCGAAACTTCACTTCAAAACTTCACCCGCGAAACTTCATCCACGTAAACTCACCCGCAAAAACTTCACCTTCACTTCACGAAACTTCACCTTCAAAACTTCACCCGCGAAAACTTCACCTTCAAAACTTCACGCGGAAACTTCACCTTCAAAACTTCACCCGCGAAACTTCACCTTCAAAACTTCATCCGCGAAACTTCATCCACGTAAACTTTCACTTCAAAACTTCACCCGCGAAACTTCATCCACGTAAACTCACTTCACCTTCAAAAACTTCACCTTCAAAACTTCACCCGAAAACTTCACCTTCAAAACTTCACCCGCGAAAACTTCACCTTCAAAAACTTCACCGCGAAACTTCACCTTCAAAAACTTCAGCCCGCGAAACTTCACCTTCAAAACTTCACCGCGAAATTCATCACGTAAACCTTCACCCGCAAAACTTCACCTTCAAAACTTCACCCGCGAAACTTCATCCACGTAAACCTTCACCCGCAAAAACTTCACCTTCAAAACTTCACCTAAACTTCACCAGCGAAACTTCACCTTCAAAAACTTCACCCGCAAACTTCAAAAACTTCACCAGGCGAAACTTCACCTTCAAAACTTTCACCTTCACCTTCAAAAACTTCACCCGCGAAACTTCATCCTTCACCGTTCAAAACTTCACCACGAAAACTTCACCTTCAAAACTTCACCGCGAAACTTCACTCCAAACTTCACCTTCAAAAACTCACCCGCGAAACTTCACCTTCAAAAACTTCAGCGAAACTTCAACTCTTCAAAACTTCAACCTTCATTCACCAAAACTTCACAAAACTTCACCCGCAAAAACTTCACCTTCAAAACTTCGCGAAACTTCACCTTCAAAACTTCACCTTCAAAACTTCACCTTCAGAAAACTTCATAAACTCACCCCGCCTTCACAAGCTTCACGCGAAACTTCACCTTCAAAACCCGCGAAACTTCAACTTCACCCGCGAAACTTCATCCCACGTACACTTCACCCGCGAAACTTCATCCACCGCGAAATTCATTTCACCCGCGAAACTCATCCACGTAAACTTCACCCGCAAACTTCACACCTCACAAAAACTTCACCTTCAAAAACTTCACCCGCGCGAAACTTCACCTTCACTTCACCCGCGAAAACTTCACCTCAAAACTTCGCCCGAACTTCACCTTCAAAAACTTCACCCGCGAAACTTCATCCACGAAACTTCACCCTTCACCTTCAAAACTTCAACTTCAACTTCACCGCGAAACTTCATCCACGTAAAACTTCACCGTAAACTTCACCGCGAAACTTCACCTTCAAAACTTCACCCGCTTCATCCACGTAAAACTTCATCCACGTAAACTTCACCGCGAAACTTCACCAAAACTTCACCCGCGAAACTTCATCCTAAAAACTTCACCCGCGAAACTTCACCTTCAAAACTTCACCGCGAAACTTCACCTCAAAACTTCACGTAAACTTCATCCACGTAAACTTCACCCGCGAAAACGAAAACTTCACCACGGAAACTTCACCTTCAAAACTTCACCCCGCGAAACTTCAAAAACTTCACCGCGAAACTTCGGCGAAACTTCACCTTCAAAACTTCACCCGAAACTTCACCTTCAAAACTTCACCCGGAAACTCACCTTCAAAACTTCATCCACCTTCACCCGCGAAACTTCACCTTCAAAAACTTCATCCGCGAAACTTCACCCACGAAAACATCGTACGATAATCCCTCATCGAGAATTTCCCCATCGTCCCTTTAAAGATCTTACACATGAAAACTACGAAGATGACGTGGCCGATGCTAATGTGTATCGTATTTCGAGACTCCTGCTTTATTATCGTGTTATTCATTTTCACTTCGTTTGTGATGGAGAGAAGAGAGAGTGAGAGAGAGGGGGGAGAGAGAGGAGGGAGGAGAGAGAGAGAGGGAGAGGGAGGAGGGAGAGGGGAGGGAGAGAGGGAGAGAGGGGAGAGGAGAGAGGAGAGAGAGAGAGAGAGAGAGAGAGAGAGAGAGAGAGAGAGAGAGAGAGAGAGAGAGAGAGAGAGAGAGAGAGAGAGAGAGAGAGAAGAAGAGAGAGAGAGAAAGGCAGACAGAGAAAGAAAGAAAAAAAGAGAGAAAAAGAGCGCGAGAGAAAGCAAACAAGTCAAAAATTCTCAAAATTCCTTCTTGCACCGCTTTTGTTTCTTCGCAGAGCTACGCAGTCATGGAATTCGACTCCATCAGACCTGCCGATGCCAGCTTGGGGCGCTAGTTGGGGCGGGCGTTGCTTTGAGTGATTGCTTGGCTTGTCCGGTCGCTGGTCTCAGAAAATCTGTCCTCGCCTGGCTGTGTGGTATGTGTGTGCGTGTGTGTGTGTGTGTGTGTGTGTGTGTGTGTGTGTGTGTGTGTGTGTGTGTGTGTGTGTGTGTGTGTGTGTGTGTGTGTGTGTGTGTGTGTTGTGTGTGTGTGTGTGTGTGTGTGTGTGTGTGTGTGTGTGTGTGTGTGTGTGTGTGTGTGTGTGTGTGTGTGTGTGTGTGTGTGTGTGTGTGTGTGTGTGTGTGTGTGTGTGTGTGTGTGTGTGTGTGTGTGTGTGTGTGTGTGTGTGTGTGTGTGTGTGTGTGTGTGTGTGTGTGTGTGTGGTGTGTGTGTGTATGTGTGTGTGCGTGTGTGTGTACATACATATAGCCTTCCTAATATAGAAAAAAGCATTACAGCATTTCTTGGCAATCAACACATGCGCTAGTATTGCTGTGTGTAAACCCTGTCCTTCTAAAAGCAGAGACAACACTTGCTGCAAAGGCTGTAATGTATCATCTGAAGCATTATAAGCATCTGGCCCCAACACATGTCCAATATCAGAATAATTTATGCACTGTATTTGCTGCCTCTGTTTACCCTCCTTAGCGTTGTGTCGAGAGGTAGTCGTTTCAAAAGATATGATAAAAAAATAGATAATCGCCTTTAGCTTCATTCATTGTATTGTTGTTTTTTAACGTAAAAGCTAACGGTAGCAAGGCAAGGAGGTTAGATATAAAAGAATACAAACAGAGAAACAGTTCGTAATCAAAATCATACAGCGCTTCCACTTGCACGATCATGTCGGAGAGCCTCAGCCTGTCGAAAATGGAGACGTCTGGGTATTGCGTTTCGGCGGCTGTGGTTTTACTGCTGGACCGGAAACGATGGCATGCGTCTATTGCGCAATGGGATTCTCTTCCGTTTTATTCCAATTCTCGGTTGCTTCTCGAGCTTTCTCGGGATTTAAGGTGTTTTTTTTTTTTTCTTTCTTTTTTTTCACTAAATGGTGCCGTATTCGTAGTATGTTGGCTACGGTTTAGTTTTGTTTGTTTTTGTTGCATTCTTGACTTAATTTTCCCTTATAGGATCAATTACATTTATTACTGTTGCATCCTATAATTTTCCCTTATAGGATCAATTACATGTATTACTGTTCGTTAGTTTTATGTGTAAACAAATATGATATTGATACATCGTTGTCAAAGAGGATTTTGCATTTCATTCCAAATTATCGGTCGCCCTGAAATTGAACTAAATATTTTTTGCTTTGATTAAAAATTATCCATCGCTAGATTCCAAGGACAAAAAAACAGTCAAACTTATCACAGAAAAAACATGCGACACGACGTGAAACTTGTTACTGGTGTATATTTTCAACGCAAAATTGTTTTAAAAAGTGTTCAGTCAAACTCGGCAGAGCTTGCTGGAAAGGCATAGCGGAATGTTATAGTTATAAACAACGTTTCCCGTTACAGCAATATAATATGTATATATACATGCAGTTCATGAATGGAACGTATATATGTGTGTGTGTGTGTATGTGTGTGTGTGTGTGTGTGTGTGTGTGTGTGTGTGTTTGTGTGTGTGTGTGTGTTGTGTGTGTGTGCATACATATACATATACATGCATACGTACATACAGGCAGACACATATATGCATATATATATATATATATATATATATATATATATATATATATATATAATATATATATTATATATATGTGTGTGTGTGTGTGTGTGTGTGTGTGTGTGTGTATGTATATGCATATATACATATACAGACATATATATATATATATATATATATATATATATTATATATATATATATATATATATATATATATACATATACTATACTATATATGTATGTAAACAATTATATATACAACATATAACACATGCATTACAACATATGTAGCTATATAACACATAACATATACCGCATGCATATATTAAATTATATAAATTAAACCCACTATATACGTATATATTATCTCTCTTCCCTTTAATCATTATATAACTCTTATCTGGCTGTATATATTTGATTATATCGTGTTCGTCTCGTGCTGTGTGTTTCTGTGTTGCTGTTCTTGTGTTACTGTGTTTTGTGTGCTGTGCCGTGCTTTGTTATTTTTATGTATGTGATATTAGGTCGGTCCTCACATAGCCTATTTGCGCTCATATACTATAGTTATCCCTACTCCTCAATGATATATATCCAGTACTACCATTGTACAATATGGTTATAGTTGTGCTGTTAGAAAATTTGTCCTCATTTTAATACAATAGACCCAGCCTCCGAGATCACTATCCATCGATCATAAGTGAAAGATATAAATATAGAAAAAGAAACTACCCTTGTAATTATTATAATAATACTCAAACTTCCAATACTAGAATGAGTAAGGAAAGCCAATAAATAACATAGATCACAAAGGAAGTATACATGTATACAATAATAAATATGGGCTAATGAGATACAGAATAAATAAATACTTTAGTATACAGCATAGAATAAGAGAGTGACCATGAGGTGAATAGTAGTCGATGATAGAGTAGTAGCGCGTAGTAGTATATAGTTCCTCGTATACGAAGCAATAGCATATAGGAGGGAGAGGGAGGTAAGGAGGTATAGAGGAGTGAATGTATAATGGAAGGTATATATATGATTTATTTATATAAGAGTAAATTAGGGAAATATAAGAATGAGCATACATACGAGGAATATATGTATGATTACTAAGTGTGGTAGAAATAGATAAATATATCCCAGGTGGTGATAGTAAGTGAAATAGGAAAGAGTTACTCCTGATACAAATAAGTAAGGAAGTCATGTTTACATGTAAGGAAGAATAGTGTATATCAGAGTTTGATATAGAGTAGTTCAATATCACATATATGTAAATCACCAAGTACGGACATGGAGAGGGATATAATGTATATGGATAAATATGATGTATATGATAATATATATATATATATATATATATATATATATATATATATTATTATATATATATATATATATATGTATGTATATATATAACTATATAATACATATATAGTATATGTATATAGTATGATATATATATATATATATTAATATATATGTGTGTGTGTGAGTGTAGTGGTGTGTGTGTGTGTGGTTGTGTGGTGTGTTGTTGTGTGTGTGTTGTAGTGTGTTGAGTGTGGTGAGTGTGTGTGTGTGTGTGTGTGGTGTGTGTGTGTGTGTGTGTGTGGTGTGTGTGTGTGTGTGTATGTAGGTATGTTGTGATATAGTACACCCCTAGCGCATGCCTAGTGGTGGGGAGGTCGTGTGTTTTTGAGAGCGTGAATGAATACTGACGATGCTCTGCTAATAAGTTCTGTCGTGCGTGGTTGTCGAATCATGAGAGTGTGTGGTGAGTCGATCGTTCGATTATGCGTTCTGTGTGTGAGTCGACGTAGTGTCGATTAGTGTAGTGTGTGTGTCTGTGTGCTATGTATTGGTTGTTGGTCCTGATGTTACTGTTGTGGAGGGCGTGACGTGTGTGTAGTGTAGCCCGTGACTGTAGTAGTGCTCTGTGTGTAATTGTCTGTGCTAGAATGCGGTAGATGTGTGTCCTGGTTGTGGTGGTGGAATAGGTAAACCAATAACCGTATGTTGTCCAGCTAGTTAGTAACGGGGGTGTGTATGTGTTGTGGGTGGTGTAGTGTGCGTTTGTGCGTGTTGTCGTGGGTGTCCCCCCTGTGTGTTACCGTCGCTGTTTTTGCTGTTGTTGTTGAGTGTGCTTCGTGCCGCGTCCTCCAGCTGTCTGGTGTGTCTGGCATAAGATTGCTTCGAAGTCCTTTGTCGTGTGCTTGTGTGTCAGCTGGTCGGTGTAGGTGTGTAGTAGGTGTCCCATATGTTTTGAAGCTGGTGTATGTCCAATGTTGGTGTGAATTCACTCGAGTTTGTTGAGTACCGTGACGTCCTTACCCCTTCACCTTAAAACCTCAGGTGTCAGCTCAGCGCTGCGGGGCTGTACCGTGGCGCATGCGTCGCGGTGGTGTGATGATAGTGTATGTGGTGTAGGGTGAAATTAGTGAGAACAACGGCACTATTAACAAATAAAAAAATTATGAATACCGAAGGAGCTCTCTATTCCTTACTACGATATCCTTGGCATTTTCAACTATACATAACCGTAGCGCTCCCCTTGTCTTATGTATCACCAATCCGCCCAATCTCATACAATACCCACCGTCTCCTCTCTTTTCATCCCCATCTGTCCCCCAGAGTGAACAAAGCTACCATGCTGATGCCTAGGAACAACTTCCCACATGGCGCATTGAGAGCAAACCCGGCCATGTCAACCGTTCGAGAACACCAAAAATCCTCGAAGACTTTAATCTTGATTATAGGTTGCATTGGAACTTTTGCCGCGGGTGTCAAACGATGAGTGAAATCATTTGTCTATTGCCCTTCATCAAGTTTCTTCTATCCCAAGCTCAACGTTAATCAGCCTTTAGACACCTCGAGTGTATCTAGCCAGTTAGAAATCGACGAAACAGCCGTGGAATTACCTTTTGTATTTTCTATATATCTTGCTCTCTTCTCTTCCTTCTATGTCCACGTTCCAATTTTCTTATACTACATTGTTGAATAGATCGATAAATATTCTCTAAAATTGCTAGTATATATTATTTATCTAAAATATGTATTAGTCTAATTTCGATTCAACACTATATACGAGCACTTACACAAGATACTCTGGATCTTGTACTAGCTATTCAACTTCCCCGTCCGAATAAGGATATTATAGAGTCGGCGTCTTTCCAAATCCCCTCGCTCGAAATTGATCGTACGATTCCATCAACAACTGCGTCTATCATTTGTATCATCGAACATTCCACCGTGCTATTTGTTACCCGAATTACCCTTAGTTTATCGCCCTAAGTGACGTCAACACTGGCAAGTAGTATGGGTCCCGCGTGTGAATTTGGCGTAG